GGTGTCAAAGATCACCTACAATGTCCTCATGCATTGAGGTTACAATTCTATAAAGGTTATGTAGAAGCTTACTCCATTTAATTCAGAAAAGTGCCTATTCCTATGCAACTATTCACTGTTCAGGAGTAAAGTTTGACTTTCATGTTTACCTCTAACAATGATGATTGGAGGAAAACAATGACACTACAACTCCTTCCCATTCTCAATGTCATTGTACAAGTTCTGATGACTCTAAGTTCTGACATGGGGGGGGGGGGAGTTTCCAAAGAAAGGAATGGCAAGGGAAGGGTGTTCAATATTTCCAGCTGAATTATGCTTTGTGTATGGGAAGAAATATCATTTTATATTTTATTCATTTAATATCATTCCTGGAGTAGGTTAAAAAACTTAAAATAATAGGAATTGGAAAAAATACTTTTTTCTGTTAATCCTCAATTAAATGAGTTACTTTACTTCATATGAGTTACTCATTACTTCATATGAGTTAGTCTTCATTAAGCCCATTGTCCTCAATGACTATTCCATATAATTTCATATTTATCCATTTTTATGTAATCAAAAAGTATACAAATTTAGGCCATTTACCAGTGTACACAGAGTATTTGATTTCTACATTTACATATTTAAACCCAGATTTTGGGAGAAAATAATTTTTTCATCAAAATGACAATATGTCTATTACAGTAAGAGAAATTCATAAAATTCTTATCTTTCTATATGGCACAAATACAAATATGATGACTGATAGCAACATTGTGGTACATAGATAATATTTAACAGATATGATAAAAGTGTTGAAGACTTTATCCCTTTCCTACAATCAGATTAGTACTCTGAGAACATTGGAAGACTATTTTGTTCCATAATAATAATAATAATAATAATAATAATAATAACAACAACAACAACAACAACAACAACAACAACAACAACAACAACTCGGCCATTGCCGGTCCCAAGCCCAGATGAGAAAGGAGGAGGGTTGGGGTCAGGTTGGCATCTGGACCCGTAAAAAAAACCCCGCCAACCCATACAATATGGAGAACAAACTGGACAAAATCACCATCAGTCAAATGCAAAAAGAAGCACTGCTTGGATCTGCATGCATATTACAAAAATACATTATGACGTCCTATGCCCCTGGGTGGGGCCCGACTAGTAATCAATGCCAAATCCGGTGAAACAACTGGCCACTGTGATACAATTCTGTTGTGGTGATGATAATAATAATACTTGATAGGTTGTACCTGCCAAGAAAAATATGGGGGCAGAGGGCTATTGCAAATCTATCAAACTGTTGAAGAAAAAAAATGAAGTTTGAATGATTAGGTGAACCAAAGGCCAGAAAAATTGCTGCAGGCTGTGAAAACACAGAACAACATAAAAACAACAGAAACAAAGGCAGAATATAAGGAAAAACAGATGAATGACAGATTAAATAGATGGAAAACCAAATATTTGCATGGACAGCACTTGAAAAACATTGAAGGAAAATGTGATGACAACTTGACATAGACATGGGAAGGAACTATCAAAAAAGAAATGGAAGGTTTAATACTGGCTGCCCAAGAACATGCACTACAAATTAACACTATGAAAGCGAAGAAATCCATTCCTACTCCCACACCATTCAAGGAGTGTTCATCCCAAATTGTATAGCTAAAAGTATGTAGAGATTCTCAGTCATCCAGGTCATGGTTGTCCCAAAGATGCTTTTTCAGAAGGCAACTGGACTTTTTTTTCTTATTTGTGGAAAATAATCAGATCATCTTAAAAGCCACCATACTGATATTCTAGTAGGTCTCAGAATGTTTTGACCCAACATGGTACCTACACATAATACTTTTATCTTCTGGGTTATTATTTATAATTATCTATAATTCTGGATTATTTATTCATCTGAATATATGTACACAATTTATTTGGATTACAGTCACAAAACTATTACAGTCACACAACTAGTCCAATCTGAAACTCTATTTGAAAGTGCTATTAAAATGTTTTAATGCCCTAATTTGCATAGGTGCATCCATCCATCAATCAATGAATTGTTTCTAACAATTTCATCCTTTTCTTCTGAAATAATTTTAAAAACAAATTTGAGCCACTTATGTTTTTCAAGGTTGGGCAGCTGAAGACATGAGAATCAGGTTTAACTATATACAGAATTTAACAGATTAACAGAGTTGGAAGGGACCTTATAGGTCATCTTGTCCAACCCCCCACTTAAGCAGGAGATCCCAGACCATTTTTGACAATAATGAATGCAGATTGTTTTCTGAAGAGTTGGAGCCGATACTAATTTATTACTGCATATTGCTAGTATAGAATCTCAGGTGTTCAGTACTTTGCATTTTATTCAATAGCATTCTATTCCAAGCAAATGGAGATTTACAAACCTAGAACTCATGTTTCATTTTTATATCTGAGGATGAGAGATATGGAGAGCCCTATTGCTTTAGTGCCTAAGGTACCAGGCTAGATATTAGGACACCATCAGTTTTAGTCCTGTTTTAGCAATGAAAGTTGGCTGGATGGCCTTGGACCATTTGTGCTCTTTCTCAGCCCAACTCATCTCATGGAGTTGTTGTTCTGGAGAAAATAGGAAAAGGAGGGTGTGTTGAATATGTTCATTGCCTTGAATTATTTGTAAAAGTAATGAAGCAGGAAAGAAATAAACAAATAAACATTGCCATTACACCCTGAATACTGGATAAGTCACTTAGGCAAGATGGGTGGCATAGAAATATGACAGACAGACAGACAGGCAAGCAGGCAGGCAGGCAGGCAGGCAGACAGACAGACAGACAGACAGACAATGCTTGACTACTAATCTATTAGGGTAACAGATCTTCAATTATTCATGCAAAAGAAAAATAGATCTTTTAATTGTTTCCTCTGAGTATGCACTCTGTAATGGAACACTCTAGAGAATAGAAGGTTTCCATATAAGAAGAAAAGTTATTCTCATCTATTCTTTCATTTCCTTTTATTAGATAATAACTGGTGAGTTGTTCTCTTCACTGTTTTCTGTATTAATAATATAATGAAAGTACAGTCAAAAACAAAATCCTAATATCCTAGTGCTATGGATAAATATTCTTCAGTAAAGAAGAAATTGTTAATGTAAGTAATATATTCTGCAGTTTTTTTATATTTCTGATAAATGATAGGTATTCAATTGTTCAAACTTCTAATAATTTTGATTACTCTGTATCTTCACATGAGTATATAAAATAAATACTTGAACTTCTTAACACGGCAACCAATCAAACAATAAATTTATTATTTAATTCAATTTATTTTATTTCCAAGTATTAATGGTTAATGCTGCAAATAAACTTTTTGTACATAATGTGGGCGAGTAGTTTATTAGAGAAAGAAATGAGGAAAGGTTTTGTTTTGTTTTGTTTTTTTCCTTAACACATTCAGATGGTTTTTTTTTGTAAAGAACAGAGATAGGAAAATACACTTGTATGATACTTGAACAAGTATTGAAAATTTAACTGTATACTAATATATAGGTTTTACAGAGAAAGAAATTATGTTCATATTATGTGATCGAAACTGAAGTGTTCCATTTTCTAATCTCAAATTATTTGGGGTGTGTTTTTAATATGAACAAAAGTTCTGTAATTTAGAATGCACATTTACGGATTTAAGATTTTACTTTGAATTATTTACATTTACAATTGAAAATTGTGTGATAATTATATTAATAGTTAACTTCATTTTTTCTATTTTTGCCGTACTAGTGGGAAAAGAATGGTGTGTTTCAAATATATTTGCCAAATCAAAAATGTACATGAGAAGTATATTTGACAAAAAAGACCACAGCCTACATCTTGATAAGATAGAAAAAATGTGAAGCAGTCAGTATCACCACCAAAGTGATTTGTAATTGGCTGACCAGCCACGTTCAGTTTGGGGAGAGAAGCATGCAGTAGGGTGACACAAAGTTTTGTCTTAGGTCCAATACTCTTCAACATCTTTATAAATAGTTTAGATAAAGATATAGAAAGGGAATTCATCAAATTTTCAGATGACACAAGCTGGTGGCCAACACTTTAGAAGACACTTGGCCCTATTCAATAAAATGCAATTCAGTTGTTTGAAAAGTAAAGTCTTACAGTTAGAGGGTGAAAAACCCTGAATGCACAAATGTAGAATGGGTGGTACATGGGTAAACAGCAATAACTGTGAAAAGGATCTATGGTTTTTGTATAAATATGAGCCAGCAATGTTTGGCAGCTGGCAAAAAGGCCAATACATTCTTAAGCTGCATAAAAGAGGATAGTGTCAAGATGAGAATAGATACTACACTTTAATGGTATGTGTGAGAGTATACTTGGAATTCTGAATGCAATTCTGATTGGCATAATAAAATGTTGAGACCTTGGAAAGTATGTAGAGAAGAGCAACAAATAGGATAAAGGGCATGGATCTTTCAATCAGTAAAATCATTAAAATCAATGTATTTTAATTGTATTTATTTTTTGATAACAATAAAATAAAATAAAATAGTCTACTTAAAAAAATTGGGAAAATGTATATGATCACAAAAATAAACACATACAAACATAGATGCTGGAGTGGCACAGATTCTCTTTAGACATATGTTTTTGATCAAATGCTAGATTCTGCCTTACAAAAATTCCAGGTAGGCTCAATCACTTTATACTAAATAATCAGTATTAATTATTCATTTATTACAAAAAAATAATATTTGATTTTGTTCAAAGAAAAATATTTTAATAAAAAAATATAATCTCATAAATGTAATTCAGGTTGAATTGAAGATTGTAAGGATGACTGAAATATTCCATTTGAATTCATGTCATTGAGTTGAATTTTAAACTATTCAATTTATTAGCTATTAGTCTTAATAACTAGGTTTAAGGGTTACAAAACTGATTATAAATTGGGAGGAAAAAGAATTAAAATATTATTTTCCTAATAAAACATTTTTTTCCTTTCAGAATTTTTCATTAAGAAAGAAAATGATCAATCAAACAACTGTAACAGAATTCTTACTTAGTGGATTTTCTGATGTCCGAGAACTACAAGTTTTACACTTCATAGCATTTTTTCTCATTTACCTTGTAACCATAACAGGGAACATTCTGCTCATTGTAATTGTTGCCCAGCACCCAAAGTTTCATAGCCCCATGTATTTCTTTCTGGTCAATTTATCCTTTCTGGATGTCAGTTATATTTCCACAACTGTTCCCAAATCCATTTTTTATTCTTTCTTAAACAAGAGACAGGTTTCATTTTCTGAATGTATCACCCAAGCTTTCTGGGTTCTCACATTTACAGGTACTGAACTGTCTATTCTCACTGTCATGGCATATGACCGCTATGTAGCAATTTGCCACCCATTGCAATACAGGCTCATTATGAACTGGAATGCCTGTTTTCAGATGGCAGCTGCTTCTTGGATTTGCAGTGCAATAAATAGCCTGGTACACACTGCAAATACCTGGGACCTGCATTTTTGTTCCTCAAATGTGCTTGAAAAATTTTTCTGTGATATTCCACAATTATTAGCATTGTCCTGCACTGACACAACAGCAAATCAAGGGCTCCTTCTTGCTGTTGCTGTCTTTGTAGGATCCTTTTGCTTTTTCTTTGTTTTTATTTCCTATGCTTACATTTTTTCTGCAGTGTTCAAGATTCAGTCTACTCAGGCCAGGTACAAGGTCTTCTCCACTTGCACTCCACACTTGACTGTTTTTTCATTCTTTGTTAGCACTGCCTCATTTTCTTACTTGAGACCAAAAGCCTGGTCCTCTCTTCCTACGGACATGATAGCTGCCATTTTATATACAGTTTTACCACCCTTAATGAATCCCATCATTTATAGTCTGAGAAATAAAGATATACAAAAATGTCTGATGAAAATGTTAAATTGGTAA